AAGGTCATAGAGACTTGGAAGTTGGTTCCATCTCAACTAATGTGGGAATGCCCGATCCATTGGTACCATCCCTGAGCTTCTACGACCTTCGGAAAGGGTCAAACCACCAAATCTTGAATCAAAAGTACAAGATATTTTGCAATAACTTTTCTTCTGAAAGTCATAGAGACTTGGGCATTTCATGATTAATAAAGGGTAGTCTGCTATGCACCCACGCCAAATTTCAGCACGTTTCGAGCAAGCAGCGCGGAGTTATTCACCCTAAGGTGATATGGGTTAGGGCTGAAATTAGGGTTAGGGTTGTGATTAGGGTTAGGGTTGTGATTAGGGTTAGGGTTAGGGATGAGAAGCCATTGGAGATCAAGATATTCTTGAATAAATTTTTTTCTGAAGGTCATCGAGACTTGGAAGTTGGTTCCATCCCAACTAATGTGGGAATGCCCGATCCATTGGTACCATCCCCGAGCTTCTACGACCTTCGGAAAGAGTCAAACCACCAAATCTTGAATCAAAAGTACAAGATATTTTGGAATAACTTTTCTTCTGAGCATTCTTCGGGCATTTCAGGATTAATAAAGGGTAGCCTGCTATGCACCCACACCAAATTTTGGCACGTTTCGAGCAAGCTAGGGTTAACTAACTGAGTTAGTTAACTAACTAGCTCTCATAGCCTCAAGCCAGCTAAATTTGTTTGAGCCCTGGACTCTTCAAATAAGTGCTCTTAATGTTGTGTATGAAAGCTTCTTAGCAATAACTTTATCTAACTAATATCTTTCACTTAAACTTTACAGTAGGATAGCTGTCAGTGTCAAGCTGTTTCGTTTCACATCAATCAGAAGCAGAGAAGCGGTTCTGCGACTTCCTGTATCCGTGTCAAATTAAAAGTCATCGTTTCAAATTAAAAGCCCTCTAGAGTTTCATACACGGTCCAGCCATATAGGCTTTGACATCTTGTTTATCAAATACTTACCGAGGTCCCGACCTCGGTGGCCTCATAACTGGCTACGGCCATGCTGGCCACTTTCTGTCACTTGCTCTGTGGATTAGAAATAGACAATCATCACATTAATAAATTATTGGCTTCATGAGGTTATAGTTCCCTTTTAAAAACGTGAATTAATTGAAAACACACATCACACAGGAACAACACATGCATGATCCCTGTGTATTTCCAAGGGTACATATAGCATGAAGTATAAATCTGAAATATAGATGCATTAGCTGATGTTCATAATGTCCTCAGATGACTTGAAGACAACAATCTCTGTGAAGTTTTCAATCAATATTGAGATAAAACGCTTATAAAGGCTGTAGATTGTGGATCACGGTTATGATATGTCCTCTTGGTCCTGAATCCTGAGGATTACCATGACGACAGACCAATAACAGCCTCCGTGGGTGTGACCTGATCTAGATGATGAAAAATTGTCCCTAGATGGATTTCCCATAAGCTGATCAGCTGAATTTCATCTTTCTGTGTCACAGTGTGTTCATGTGTGTATGGTGTCTCACAGTTTTATGTGTGATGCACAGTCAGGGTAATATGACACGATGGAGGGGATGCTGACCTCAACCTTTTTTTTTTCACTTTCTCATTCGAAGACAAGGTGACTGTTTCAGCACAAATAGCTGTAGGTTTTTTTCCACTCCATTGTTATTTATTTATTTACTTATCCTCCAATCCAGGTTAATATCAGCACAAGACTGCTTTTATATTTGATGTACAAGTACTGTGTGTTTTTGAGCTCTTGCATGTGAGTCTGTAACTGACAGCAAAAGAAAAAAGTACATAAACAACACAGGAACTGTAATAAAGATGGACTCCATGTCCACTTCTGCCCACTGTTCAGAAAGGAAGCAAAAATATCCCACATACGAGCGATGCCATTTCAACCAATCACGAGTCACCCCCTATTTATCATAGCATCAAAGACGACCAAAACATACTACATAAAGATTTGAACATATATTGGTGTGATGAAAAAAACAACCTTAAACCATCTGTGAAAAAAAATGTATTCACCACGTTCTTGGACTTTTCAGTTTGGTCCATGACTCATCCACTAACATGGAGGAGGCATTTATGATCTATACTGCAGCCAGCCACCAGGGGGTGATCAAAATGATTTGATTTGATGTCATGTCGTCCATCTAAATATATACAGTCCATGTAACAGCATGATCCCAAGATAGAAATGACTGAACTGTGTCATATCGTGTCTGTTTTCAGACGAACATCGGCAGCATCCTGGCGGCCGTCAACCCCTACAAGCAGATTCCGGGTATGTACGACCCAGAGCGGGTGGACCTTTACTCCAAGCACCATCTAGGGGAGCTGCCACCGCACATCTTTGCTGTGGCCAACGAATGCTACCGCTGCATCTGGAAACGCCACGACAGCCAGTGCGTCCTCATCAGGTGAGTTCACAAACACACTGTAGCTCTAATTCCTGCCTCAAGGCCTCATGTCTGTCTATTACCGTTTCATCCATCTCTTTTCTGTACAGTGTGTGCTCTCAGGGGACTGCAGCCTATCCCAGCATGCACCGGACCAGAGGGTGCTTACATTATTCTTATTGCCCTACTGAGCTCGTAACCAACACACTGAATATGTTGCTCAGAAGCTAACCCCTAACCCCCCTCCTGGTCCGGTTCTCTAACTGACTCGCTCTACATGTAGGGTCAGACATGTTCTTATTCTTTCATTTACACTCAGCCTTCAACTCACTTGGTTGGACTGGGAGCTAATGAACATATCAAACCTCAACATCAATTACACAACCAGACCAGTTATGACGAGGATGTGGGAATGTCAGAGAAGGTCACAGGGCATTTAATCATTTAATTGAATTGAGTTGTGTGTGTGTGTGTGTGTGTGTGTGTGTGTGTGTGTGTGTGTGTGTGTGCAATCCAGTGGTGAATCGGGTGCAGGGAAGACGGAGAGCACTAAACTGTTGCTTCAGTTCCTGTCAGTGATGAGCCAGAAATCAGGAGGGACTCCTCCGTCAGAGAAAACCACACGTGTGGAGCAGGCCATCGTACAGAGCAGGTAAACATGACAAAGACACATTTTTTCTTTACACAAGTATGTGTACTATAACTTTTATTATAATCAAATCAAATCTTTAAGGACAAGTCTAAGTTGAGTCATTTTTAAACAAATATTTATACAGTAATACAATACAATATCTTCAAGTTATTGATTTAGATTTTTTTCAACAAATTCTTATCACATTTCTACCAAAGTATAAGGAGGAGACTTCATCCATCTGTTTTCTATTATTTGCAAATTGTAGTAGTTCAAGACAAAAGTATTTTGTTTTCAAGTGGGAATCAAAGCAGACTTGAGACCCCAAGTCTCAAAACTGCCCCTGAGCAAGACCACATCCTGTGAGAGTAAGCATCGTTTGCATCGGGCATTTAGTGATGTGTGTAATTGTGCTAATATGAAGCATGAAAAAGAAACAGCACGCTTCATGAGTCTTTCTAGATAAGTAAAGGTCAGTAGAAATGTTGCTTAAGGAGAAATGCAGTCGTTGAGGGAGCATCCTCTGCTGCATGTGGTTGGTGGACTATATTCTGAATGTCACACACAACAGATGACACTAACTTCAGTTTTTCCTTTTTTTTGTTTTCCCCTGCAGTCCCATCATGGAAGCGTTCGGAAACGCAAAGACCGTTTACAACAACAACTCCAGTCGCTTTGGGAAGTTCATCCAGCTTCACTTCTCTGAGTGTGGCAACATCCAGGGAGGCTGCGTCATCGACTGTATCCTCATGTCTACTCCAAATAAGATTATTTCTATCAGATGTATTTTACACATATATTCAGTTTATGCTGCATTATAAGCAGAGAGGAGACTTAAAGGATATTAAAATATAAACCTCAAGATTGATTGTTGTTTCCTTGACTCTCTACCCTCCAGATTTACTGGAAAAGGTAACTCCGTCTGGGAATATGTCCAAGGCTGTGGCCTGCACATGTCATGTTTAAACTTATCACCACTGACCTGTCTGTGTTACATAGTGAATCACAATGAAATGGTAATAGAGGCTTTGCTGCATTGATTTTGCTGTAGAACCGTGTGGTACGACAGAATCCTGGAGAGAGAAACTACCACATTTTCTACGCTCTGTTGGCGGGAGCTAACAAAGAGCATAAAAGTAAGAGAAGCTTATATCAGCATATCAACAATGCTCTTTAAAAACTTAATAAGTTTCCACAGAAACACATGTGTCTCTGACATGATTTCACAAGCTTTATATGATTTACAAATCAATTTAGTAGAGATAAGAGATGCACTTGAGATAACAATCTCGGAAGTGTGTGTGTATAATTTCACTATAACTAGATATAAAATGCATCTCTCCCTCTGTCATGCTGACATTATAAATTTCCTCCGTCAGGCCTCTACTTCCTGGAAGACCCTGCGGAATCTTTCCACTACCTCAGCCAATCAGGATGTCTGAAGGACAAAAGCCTGAATGACAAAGAACTGTTTAACAGCGTCATGGTCAGTTTGTCTTCATTACCAGCTGTGTCTCCAATATTCTTCAAACCTGAAAACTTAAAAAAAGAGTTGAATTCTGCTTTCACGTTTCCAGTTAATTATGACACGTTTTTAAAGCTGGCAGTGCCTGATCTCCTCTCATGTGCTTGTCTTGTGCAGGAGGCGCTGAAGGTGTTGGAGTTCACAGAGGAGGAGATCAGAGACATGTTCAAGCTGCTGTCAGGAGTCTTACAGCTGGGAAACATCGAGTTCATGACTGCAGGAGGAGCTCAGATCACCACCAAGCAAGGTCAGTGAATGTCTTGAGTGAAATGAGTTACACAATTAAAGCTGAGATGGATAATTTACACATGTACAACACATCTTTGTCTGTGTTTCCAGTGGTCACTAATGCCAGTGAGCTGCTGGGCCTGGACGCCTTCCAGCTGTCTGAGGTCCTGACTCAGCGATCCATAATCCTCAGAGGAGAGGAAATCTGCTCCCCTCTCACTATAGAGCAGGTATATACATATACACACGTTCATTCTGCCCATATAGATGTATCACAGCCTCTTCCTGGCATCTTAACAATCCCTCGGGTTTCCCTCTCACTGCTGCAGGCTGTGGATTCCCGGGACTCTGTCGCCATGGCGCTATATTCCCAGTGTTTTTCCTGGATCATCCTCAAGATCAATCAGAAAATCAAAGGGAAAGAAAACTTCAAGTCCATCGGCATCCTCGACATCTTCGGCTTCGAGAACTTTGAGGTGGGAACTCTAAGCTTGAAATCACTCGGAGGATTCTATTTCATCTACATGGGGACATGTTGTATATAAGAAGTGTTTCCTGTACCTTCCAGGTGAATCGATTTGAGCAGTTTAACATCAACTATGCCAACGAGAAACTTCAGGAGTACTTTAACAAGCATATCTTCTCTCTGGAGCAGCTGGAGTACAACAGGTGCACTTCTACAGACATCTACAGCACATGTATTAATATTGATATTAACATTGTTAAGTGTAAAACACCATTAACAGAAAAACTCAAAGACATTATGTTTTTTAATTCGTTAAATCATTTTCTTTTTTTCAGTTAATTTAAATTTAAAGTAAACCACTTGTTAATACATGATTGTTTGGGTTTCCTCTCCACAGGGAGGGTGTTCAGTGGGACGCCATAGACTGGATGGACAACGCAGAGTGTCTCGACCTCATAGAGAAAGTAAGAAATGGCATTTACACATCTGACGACATAAACAGTGAGTTAAGCTCTTATGAGTTCTGGGCTATATTGACTGTTATATACCACATTGCCAAGAACAGTCATATTGTCTTTAACATGTGACGTTTAAACTTTACAGGCTTTTCTCATTCAGAGCTTGGCTGAAGCAGGTTAAAACTAAATCTAGCAGGATCTAATAATGTTGGACTGATGACTTATCTGAAATGGTGCTGATTTGATAAAGAGGACACAATAACATGGTGCTTTTTTCCATCTCTCTCTTAGAAACTGGGTTTGTTGGCTCTGGTGAATGAAGAGAGTCGATTCCCCAAAGGAACAGACTTCACTCTGCTGGAGAAGCTGCACAGCCGACACTCTGTAAGTTATTTACACTTTTCTTCATGCACTTCATGTGTTAGTCACACAAATGTTGAGCTGCTTTGCTGCCGTTAAACTTCACATTACATAAATATGTATGTATATGTTGACCTTTTCTTGTTTGCAGACAAACCCTTACTATGTGAAGCCCAGACTCGCTGATCATCAGTTTGGTATCAGACACTATGCGGGGGAGGTGAGTTATACAAGACTTAACCACTTCATGGAAACACATGGTAGATTTTATTGTGCATATCAGAAATATTATGATGAACCTGTTCCCGTCAGGTCTTGTATGATGCTAAAGGAATCCTGGAGAAGAACAGAGACACCTTCAGAGACGACATCTTAAACATGCTGAAGGACAGCAGGTAGGACGCTCTGACACACTGAGTGAAGAGTAAATTCAGACTTTAATAGGTCAGAGGAATACGTTCATTTTAGAAATTGGAAGGTTAAATGCTTGGAATTTAAATACATCCAAAGTTTAGCAGTTTTTGAGAAAGCCTGTTCACAGGTCAAACAAACAAACGAGAATGCCACCGATTTAGATGTTTTCATATTGTTTCCCCTAAAATATAGTATCAGCTGTAGACACGTAATCTGTTTTGTTTCTGTGGCTTCACAGACTGGACTTCATCTATGACTTGTTTGAGAAAGTTGGCAGCAGGAACAACGAGGAGAAGATGGGAACAGCCAGACGCAAACCTACAGTCAGCTCCCAGTTCAGGGTGAGTGATGAATGTAGTTAACATCCATTGAGAAGCATTTGTAAATACAATCAGGAGAAAAGCTCTAAGACATCCTCTCTTCTCCGTCTCCTCAGGACTCCCTCCATGCCCTCATGGCCACTCTGAGTGTGTCCAACCCTTTCTTCATCCGCTGCATCAAACCCAACATGCAGAAGGTCGTTCTGCTTCTGTCTCACACTCACATGAATACTCTCTCAGACCAAGATCGCATCTTAAATCTTTTTTTATTATTATTTTATACATAGAATCCAAATGTGTTCGACCCGGAGGTCGTCCTGAACCAGCTGAGGTATTCTGGGATGCTGGAGACTGTGAAGATCCGTCGTGCCGGGTTCCCCGTCCGCAGAACTTTCAAGGACTTTTTCTCTCGGTAAATATCTTAATCTGAATTTATCGTCATCTTCTTCTGTTCTTTGCGTGTCTCTCCAAGAGGAGTTGCTTTTGAGGAATTGTCTTATCTTTTTCTTCTGCTTAATCTCTCGTGTCTCATTTAGGTATAAGATCATCCTGAAAGAAAAAGTAGCAGCAGCTGGAGACGATAAAAAAAGGAGCACAGACATTCTCATTAAATATGACAAGACAAAGAAAGAGTGGCAGTTAGGCAAGACCAAGGTAATGTTTAGGAGCTTTTGGCAACAGCTGTAAAGGGGTTGTCTGTAAATTATCCTCCTAGTAACTCTTTACCTTTTCTCTACAGGTGTTTTTGAAAGAGTCTCTGGAGCAGCGTTTAGAGAAAGACAGGGATGAAGTCCGACGCCAAGCTGCTATGATAATCCGAGCTCATCTTCTCACTTTCTCTGCCAAGTAAGTCCCGTCAGATATGAAATAGAAAAACAAAGTTCTCTCTCTCTGTGACACTGTGTCCCATGTCTATGCCTGCTCTGTCCACAGGAAGCACTTCAAGCGTGTGCGTGCCGGTGTCGTCACCCTCCAGAAACACTTCAGAAAGCACATCCAGCGCAGGCGATTCGTGAAGCAGCGCAAGGCGGCTCTGGTGCTGCAGAAACACAGACGAGGTCAGGTGGCGCGCACTCGTGTTCGAAAACTCAGAGAGGAGAAGAGGAAGAGCGAGGAAGCGCTGAAGAAGAAGGACGAGGAGGAGGACAAGAAGTCAGTTGGTGAAGGGCAGCAGGAGGAAGAGAGTGAAGGAGCTGACAAGAAAGATAAATCCTCAGAGGCAAGTGCTGAATCTTCATGGTCTCAGGGATAAGGCAGCTCTCTGTGCTTCCTTTGATTTTCAGAATAAAGCAAATGTTGCTTGATTTACTCCATTTCTCCTTCTCTTCTCGTCTCCAGGAGGAGGCCCGGCAGATGGAGGAGATCCTGCAGCTGGAGCGGGAGATTGAACGCTTGCAAAAGAAGAGAGAGGATGAGGTGTCGCAGCTGTGTGAGTCCTCCAAACAGGAGCTGCAGCTGCGTCGAGACGCTGAGATCAAACGGATGAAGAAGGAGGCGTCTCGCAAGGCCACGGAGCTCATCGACCTCCTGAACTTCGGAGGCGTGGATCCTTCGCTGGTAGGAGCAGGAGCGAAGCCTGCTGCCGAGGCCAAGACTCCCAGAGGTGCAAGTGCTGCTCGAGGGGCATCCAAAGAGGAGGAGGTAGACGAGGGCTTCCACGCTGAGGAGGAGTGCATCCCTCTCCCTGACTTCCCTCCTCCTGCAGAGACAGATGCTCCTTTGGATCAGGAAATATTTGCCCAACTCCCTCCTCCACCACCTGCCTTCGCTGAGGGGACAGTTCCTCCTGCACCACCTCCTCCACCTCCCCTGCCCACAGATGAAGTTCCTGCTGCTGGAACTCCTCCCCCTCCGCCTCTCCCAGCACCTGGAGATGGCTCCGATGGTCCACCAGCTCCACCACCACCACCAGGACCCCCACCTCCCTTGGGAGAGGGGGAGAAGAAGGAGGCAGCCAAGGTGGAGCCGGAGAGGAAGGTCAGCATGGTGGAGAGCCTGGACGGCGAGGAGCCCATCTACAGCATGCCGGCCGACACAGAGTCAGATTACGATCAGGAGGAGGAGGAGGGGTCTGTCACGGCTGGAGACGACAGCTCCGTATCCGGGAGCAACAGAGGAAGTGCTGCCGTGACGGACGAGGAACACCCGAGGAAGTCGACGTGCACCAACGCCAGCATCGAGTCCTACAGAGGCAGCTCCGACTCTGTGAGGACACACACTCACACGCATCCTCACACGCGTGCACGCAGACATGTATGAGCATCTCTGCAGTGAAAATTTACTTTTTATTTTAAATTTGACTCAGTATTGTGATAAACTGAAAATGTTTTTCTTCTTCTTCTGCTTCTACTTCTTATTTGTTCTTATTCTTATTGTTATTGATGTTATTGTCTACTGTTGCAGTACGCAGACAGTGATGATGAGCATGATGGGATGATGGACACTGATGAAGAAGTGACAAACGGCAGAGTGTTGTTGCTTAATGGAAATGGTCCTCCATATTTCCACGGCTACCTCTACATGAAGGGTGAGGGCATATTACCAAATTACCAGTACTTTTTAAAAAAGTGGTGGTTTTAATTTGAAATGAAACCTCTTTTGTTTAACATAACATTTCATTTCCTGCCTCAGCTGGCCTGATGATCCCGTGGCGGAGGCGTTGGTGTGTGTTGAAGGACGAAACCTTCATGTGGTTCCGCTCCAAACAAGAGTCTCTGAAGTCCGGCTGGCTCTACAAGAAAGGAGGAGGCCTCTCCACTCTCTCACGGAGGTTGTTGTAGTTGTTACTGAGTGAAGCCTGCATGCTAACAGCATGAAACCACAACTCTGCTAGAAGTGAAGTTCAGTAGAAGCTGACGAAAAGTCTCAATTAAATCATTGTGTTGTATAATTTAATACTAAAATGTATAAACATTGTGCAACAGTTTTCACCTAAGAAAACGTATTTTCTTCGTTAATAGTGCATGCTTGTGTTCACACTGCATGAATTTAACAGTTTATCTAGTAGTTGCATGTTCGTAAAAACGTTTCAGTATTTAATACAGTGTTTGAGTCTCTAACTTGAAGCTTTAAACCCTCTGCAGTACTGGAAAACTACAGTATCCCACTCAAACTGATGTACTTTGAATCATTTGAAATACATTTAGAGCAAAGGTTGGTGATTTGTTAATGTGAGGAACACTGTTGAATGTAAAAGAAAAATGATTATTATTCAAAACGGTGAATTAAAAACTTTTCATATTGCACTAATATAGATATTCAGTAACCAGAGTAACCATCACGCTTAGATGCAGGTTAAAAGAATTCAAATAGAAACTGAGCCTAATATGTGCACATATCAATTATAATCAATTCAGATAAACCTGTGTGATGTGTAGAGTGTGATATCTTGGCCGTTAGTTTTATTGTGTTTGTTTTTCCCTCAGAAACTGGAAGATGCGTTGGTTTGTACTGAGGGACAGTAAACTGATGTACTACGAGAACGACAGCGAGGAGAAGCTGAAGGGAACCATCGACATCCGGGCTGCAAAGTAAGATTCAGAAAAATCATTTTCACTACGTCTTTGTTTTCTGGACAACAGCTCAATTTGTATCCTGTGTGTGTGTGTGTGTGCAGGGAGATCATGGATAATCATGAAAAGGAGAACGCTCTGAACATCGTGACAGACGAGAGGACCTATCAGGTGTTTGCTGAGTCACCAGAGGATGCAAGGTGCCGAAGAGACCTGTCTCACTGTGCAGGAAACAGCAATAAAATATAACAATATATCTGAGACTTTTTTCTATAACCTGTGACACGTTTGTCTGTGTGTGTCTGTGCAGTGGCTGGTTTAATGTCCTCAGTAAGGTGCGTGTGTGCACTCCCGAGCAGCTGCTGGAGATGTCCCACGAACAGGCCAACCCAAAGAACGCTGTGGTCAGTCTCTAAACATGTGATGCCCATACACATGCATGATGTGTTTTGCATTATTCTTCACTTCTCAGTTATTCCACACTAATTTTGTAGTGTACATTTTGAATAATTTCCCTCTCCATCCTCAGGGAACTCTTGACGTGGGGCTGATTGACTCAGTTTGTGCATCAGACAACCCTGATCGGTAAGATGTCAAAGAATTATCAAACAGAAGAGAGTAACATGATTAGCATGACTTTGACCATTTTGGATCTGAATTTGATCACAGAAGATTTCAACATTCCTTAAGTCACATAATTGTTTTCTTAAAATGAAAGTGAAAAGGTTTTTCTAAATAAATCAGTTGATGTTGTGATGAGGCAAACATGGAATCTATTGAAGAAGAAGAAGAAGAAGGTTTAGTCAGAGTAGACAGTAATAGACAGACAACACAGCTTGTATTTCAAAATAAAACGTTTTTAACCCTGGACTAAATGTGAATCAGTTATGATTTAAACACACTCTTACTCTTTCACTCTATCCAATTTATTTATGCCCCTCAGAAAATGTTAATTTATTCAAAGGTCTCTTCCCTCGACCTTTGCAGACCCAACTCTTTTGTCATCATCACTGCCAATCGTGTGATCCACTGCAACAGTGACACACCAGAGGAGATGCATCACTGGATCAGTCTGCTGCAGAAACCAAAAGGAGACGCCAGGATCGACGGGCAGGAGTTCCTCGTCAGGGGTTAGAAAATATTATTTTGATTATTGTCAATTACAATGATAATTGGCAAATAAAATGGTGTCACACCAAGTTGGTTGCAAGCACGATAGTCGGTTTGACCGATTTATAAGAATTTGTTTAATCTCTACTATAGGTATCAGCTTTGGCTCCTAAAAATCCATGGGTCTGGTTGTACTTACTGCTTTCTCCTGTTGTCACTGTCTTACTCCTCCTGTGCTCTCATCATCGTTCAGGTTGGCTGCAGAAGGAGATGAAGACGAACGCTAAGAGCACCTCCCTGAAGCTGAAGAAACGCTGGTTTGTTTTGACCCACAACTCGCTGGATTACTACAAGAGCTCAGAGCGAAACTCCTCCAAGATGGGAACTCTGGTCCTTAACTCCCTCTGCTCCATCATTCAGCCGGATGAGCGAGTGCACAGGGAGACAGGTGAGGATGAAGAGAAGAGGCAGGGAATGACAGAGAGGGCAAGTTTAATCAGGGATTAGACCAAGGAGGTGAGGAGAGGCATGTGCAGTTATGTTCATGAAACATGTACCAGGTACTGGATTTAATACGACTAAATTACAGAGAAAATATCTCTGAGGTAAAAGCTGAGCCTCATCACCTTCGTGTCAACATTTAATTGGTTAATTTCTTATGTGTGGATGCTGATAGAGTTGTTTTTTTACAGGTTACTGGAACATCATAGTGTACGGGAGGAAACATTCTTACCGCCTCTACACCAAGATGCTGAATGAGGCCATGAGGTGGACGGCTGCTATACAGGGAGTCGTCGACAGTAAGACGCCCATAGAGACTCCAACACTGCAGCTCATCAGAGACATCAAGGTAAAACACAAAGCCACAGTAAGAGATCGTGTAATAGTCATCAGAAGAAAAACCTGTATTTAATCTGCTTGTGTGTCCTCAGGAGAACAGTGTGAACCCAGACATCGTGGAGCAGATGTACAGGAGAAACCCCATCCTCAGATACACCCAGCATCCTCTGCACTCCCCTCTACTGCCGCTGCCGTACGGAGAGGTCACCAGCTGTAAGTGAAACTTCCTCTTCTTATTTCACATATTTGTTGTGTCTCAATTCAAAGGCTGTACGCTCTGGAGTGGAGGGTCTAGAACGTGGTCTTTGTAGACACTGCAAAACACAGAATCTGCAGCTGAACCAAATGTGACAATCCGCTCTACTGAGGATTTCCTTTTTCATCGATGCCCAGATTGTTGCATCATTAACTATTTTTAGCTGCTACAGTTACTGAAGCCCGGCTCCGTGGTCACAAATTACAGATAAAATGACTCTTTAGTTTTTTCTGTTTGATTGATGCACAGTGAAATAGTTCACATGGCTGAATTTCAAGTTCCTGTTATCTTGTTGCTCCTCTCACGTTGGCACCATCACACCAATCTTTTGTGAATGCATATAACTTTGTTTCTTCTTCTTCTCTTTCTCTGTGCAGTGCACAGGCAGCAGGGTTACGCCAGCCTGCAGGACGAGGCGGTGCGAGTGTTCAACTCGCTACAGGAGATGGAGACTCTGGCAGACACGGTGCCCATCATCCAGGGCATCCTGCAGACCTGCCAGGACCTGCGGCCTCTCAGGGATGAGGTTGAGTGATTTAGTTTTATAAAAATATACTTTTTTAATAGTTTTACTTTTCATAGAAAAAAACTGTAAAAAAGGAGATTCCAGCAATTTTCCAACATACGTGCAAACTATGAACTGTTCTGATTTTGGTGGTCCAGGGTCAAAGGTCACTCTGTTTTTCGCCTCTTGAACAAGATATCTCAAGTTTCTGTTTGGAAACAAATGTATGCAGACAGAAGCAGCATTGGTTCGTAGAAGCATACAACTGCAACAACAACAACGGCAGTAATTCTAGTTCTGTTATGACATCATGATCATGACGATCCATGTGTCTTTGGTGATTTGACACTTGAATTTCCTTCATATGTATTGTCAGGTCTATTGTCAGGTGATCAAGCAGACCAATCACGTGCCTCAGCCTAACAGCCCAGCCAATCGCGCACACTGGCACCTTCTCACCTGCATGAGCTGCACCTTCCTACCCAGTCGAGCCATCCTCAGATACCTCCGGTTCCACCTCAAGAGGTCAGTGTGTGTCTGACTCTGCGGTGTGTGTATTTCTTCTGTGATGTGGCGCTCATGGAGTGAAAGTGTCATAAATGTGTGTGTGGTCCGATTCAGGGTACGCGAGCGCTTTTCCGGCACAGAGATCGAGCGCTATGCCACTTTCATCGGGGAATCCTTAAAGAAGACCAAGACTCGTGAGTTTGTTCCCTCCCAGGAGGAGATCGCCGCCCTGCTGGTGAGACAGGAGATGAGCACCACGGTCTACTGCCACGGAGGAGGCTCCTGCAAGATCTCCATCAATTCACACACCACAGCTGGAGAGGTGCACAGCAACACACACATACACTCACACAACATCTTTAATGTGTAGTGAGTAATATCCAAAATCCACCTTAATCATCAATTATACTCCTGTTCATTTGCTGCTGCTGCAGGTTGTGGAGAAGCTGATCAGAGGTTTGGCCATGGAGGAGAGCAAGAACCTGTTTTCTCTGTTTGAACACAACGCCGTCACAGACCGAGCTCTGGAGAGCAGAGTGATCGTGGCAGACGTCCTGGCAAAGTTTGAAAGGTATCTCAGTTAGTTTACATTGTGGATCAGCATATAGAGATTTAATGTTGCTCAGTAATGTCATTTAAAGTTTAATTTATAATTTAAAACACCAAGGCATTGTGGCCTATTTCCAACTTGCTTTAATCTATAGGATTTATATTTGCACTGAGTTCAGCTGTTTTGCTGTTTATGAGTATTGTGCTGGATGTTTTCTTTTTGTTGTTTCCCAGGTTGGCAGGAAGTGAAGAAGAGGAGGAGGAAGGAGAATGGAAACTCTACTTCAAACTCTACTGCTTCTTGGATGTGGAGAGCATGCCCAAAGAAGGAGTGGAGTTTGCCTTCATGTTCGAACAGGTGAGAGAAGAGTTTTTTTCTCTCTAATTAAAGACAATTGAATACGTTCTAAAATTCATACAATGATTTTTCTCAAAAGACAAATTAGAATATTATGGATCAATACAAAATTGATTATAGTTATTATTGTTTTTTATAATGATTATACTACATTTTTGACTTGTGTAGACCTTGTATCACACATCAAAATTTTGATTTGTTTATTTAAAAAATACAAATTAATCACATTTATACAAAATTAAATGACTCCTGTGCCAATTTCTTAGTTTTACAGTTTGTTTACCATCTTTTGTCTTCATGTTTTTAAATAAGGCTATTTGAGAGTTTGCACCACATAACATTATTTGTATTTATATCAAGACAGGATGTATAGAAAACATCACTTGACTAAACTACAAGTTTAGTAAGTATGTAATATGTATTACTCCACTTTCTCCGTCAGGCTCACGAGTCTCTGATAAGTGGTCACTTCCCGGCATCGGAGGAGACTTTGCAGCACCTGGCGGCTCTACGTCTCCAGTATCTCCACGTTGATGGGGCAGGTCGGGCCGGTTGGAGTCTGGGGACTGTCTATCCGATTGGACGTCTCCGCAATCGCATCCTCCACTCCACCAAGCCTGGCGTGGGGGCCGCAGGCGGAGCTGGAGCAGGCGTAGGAGGAGGAGCAGGAGACGGGAAGGGCCTGGTCGGAGGACCGGGAGTTGTCGGCCCCGGGATTGAGAAACGAAAGACCCCGAGCTTCCTGGACGGGACCCTGAGGAGGAGCTTCAAGACTGGGTCACTGAAGAAGCAGAAGGTTTTAGAACATTTGCTATAAACCCTGCATACTTTGAAGTAAAAAAAAATACTATCAATTACTAGTATAAGATGGCTGACCGGTGTGGTTTCAGGTGGAGGAGGAGCAGATGTTGGAGATGTGGGTGAAGGAGGAGACATCGGCCACACGGACCAGTGTCCTGGAGAAGTGGACCCGCCTGCAGGGAATGCCACAGCACCAGGCCATGCTGAAATACATGAGCATCATTAAGGAGTGGCCCGGATACGGATCGACTCTGTTCGACGTGGAGGTGAGCGAATAAGAAGAGAGGAGGGGCGGTGCAAGAAAATCTGACATATTGTCTTTTAAGATCTGAATCATACCTTTCCCCAACTCTCCTCCCTCTGCAGTGTAAAGAGGGCGGCTTCCCTCATGATCTGTGGTTGAGTGTGAGCGCTGACAACGTGTCTGTTTATAAACGAGGTGAACCCAAACCTCTGGAGACCTTCCAGTACGAACACATCACCTTCTTCGGAGCTTCGCAGCCCTGCACCTACAAGATCATTGTGGATGAGAGGGAGATGTTCTTTGAGACTCCACTGGTGAAAGATCATTCTTCTTATTATCAATATACATTTTTATTAATATTTGTCTTTATCCATTCAAACACTGCAATGACTCTTGTTTGTGCATCAACTCCTCCTGCATCAACCAGAGCACATTAAAAAAGACAGTAAAAGTTATTTCATCACACAGACTCACTCTGTGGTCACATTATTCTGTTCAGCCTCAGCTCTCGGTTCCATTACCGCCACCGCGCTCTGTTACTCTCTCACCCAGTCGATCTGTCAGATAGCTAAGTTTGGCACTGCTTAAGTTTAACGTTATTTGATACTCGGGGGACTGGTATTCATGATACAAAACAGATTTATATCTTTTTTACTCTTTAGGTTGGAGAGATCACCAAGATCATGAGAGCCTACATCAACATGATGGTGAAGAAACGTTGCAGCATCATGTCGGTGACCAGCGTCGCCAGTTCCTGGGTCAGGTGATCGCCACCAACCAGCCCGAGCCCTCGATTTGTCCAGCAGCGATCAGATGCCTCTTGCGTCGGTTGGTTGGTTTTGGATGGAGGTGGTCGCACCAACCAGTGCATCCTCATGGTTGAGTCAGGAGTGATGTGGATGAGTGTCAGAAGCATAACGGGGGTAGAAGTGGACACGGAGGCCAAACGCACACTCTCTCCTGGCCTGGGTTTCACTTGGGATAAGGGATTCGTTGGATAATTGAGCATGACAAAGACTTTCAAATTACATAACTCCCTCCCTCCAGTTGTAGTCCTGCATGTAGGTGTTCAAGCACACTCCAAACTTCTCTCTGCTTTTTATTTCCGGACAAACGAACCTCAGAAATTTACAAGCACAACTCAGCCGCCTCAGTCTGTCCGCCCAGTGCACTGCCAGATAGAAGAAAAGCCACACCTCCTCAGTTCAGTTTCTTTCCCACTCCTCCTCCCACGTCCAGAGTCTCTCTCTCTTTCTCTTCACGTGTCCTCACTTCCTGTTGCATCCTTATTTGCTGTCAGTATTTCGTAACAAGGCTGAATTCTTGTTCTTGCTTGCTTTCTCTCCGTTCTCGTCTTTTTTAACCGTGACATCGTCTTGCTTCCACCACTTTGTGACTGAGAAAAAGGACTCCATGATGACGATTCTTCTTCAGGGCTTCTCGTCGGTGCCACCGTGTGGCAACAGGAGGAAAACACGGCCAAAGGATGTGGCTTTAAATATTAATGAACACTATCAAATAGATATAAGTGAGAAGAGAGAGGGCAGGTTTTGCTTTGGAGGCTCTGTGGTCAGGTGACGCAAAGAGTCTGTGCATGGTTAGAGCCTCGCGTGGCTCTATAGAGACAATATCAAGCAGAATATTATAAGACAAAACGTTTCCCTATCTATGTCTACATATAATACACACAGCATAAATCTACTGTATATTCACATACATGTAAACATGAACTGATGTATCGTTTTGTACTGTATATCACACAATATAAGAGTTACTATTGAATTTCCAGTGGCCACTGCACTGTACAGTATATAATGATGCCACACTAAATGCAATGTGACACCTCTCGTGTAAAATGAAGTGAATGATGTGACCGCTGTGTGTGCGAATCTGATGCCAATACATCATTCACTGGCTGTGCCATTAATGTGACTCACTCACGGAGATGTAGGAGTTCTCAAAACCACAGGCTATAGACATTTAACTGTGTTTTAGTGGATTTATCATCAGTGTTATCTGTGGGAGTCGCTCAAAAGCATCAAACGGACACTTTAAATATTGTAACTCTGCGTCCGCTCATTCTGTTCTCATGAGACTTAAAAACTTAAAGTGCATAAAAGCTCCAGATTGTCTCCATTTTCAACAATGTGACTTTTACTACTGGTACTACTCTTATTACTGTACGCCCCCCTGCTATCTTAACCACCCTGAAGTGCTGTGTGTGTGTGTGTGAGAATGAGTGAGTGTATTAATGGTTTTATCCAAACAGTTGGAAAAGAAAAGGGAAATGGTATGATATGAGAAAAGAGAAATAATATTAATGAGTGTATTCCTTGGAAATAAGACGTATTTAATTGACTAACCTTGGCAAAGAATGGTGTTGTGCTTGTGATTTAAGGGGAAAGCATGGGTATACAAGGGAGGGTTTAGGGTTTATTTATTTCTTATTGTACCGTGTGTATTGCAGTGGGTGTGTTTGGGAGAATAACGTGTTGACAATGTACTGGAATTATTTTTTATTTCTGTCTCAGTGGAAACAAGGGAACAGATAAAGACACTGTGAGGAAACGGGTTCAGAAATGGTTTCATTGTGCACTGGGAATGCTGAGAGTCATCACTGTTCTGTGTGTATGTGTGTGCTTTTTTTCCATGATGAAAGTGAAGTCGCTGCTCCGTCAGCATCACCTGACAATGTGGCACTGCAGGTATACAGCAGCATCCCTCGTGTGGGACAATAATGTGTTTCATCAACCATCAATCCAGGAAAGAATAAGTAACACAGAAACATAACACAATCCATTAAACTGTGAAATTAGGTTGAGGTAGAGGTTATGTTTTCAGAACTAACAAGGATATAAATCTTTCTGAAGTTGAAATTGTCTGTTGTGTATCTGCAGTGCAATCCAGGGCTTTAGAAATACTGAGGTCATGACTCTGAGAATCTCTTTTCATTTTCCACAGGAGAAATGAAATAAAGCAATTCAAAATGAGGTGGGTGGAAAGAAAGACAGAAAGAAAGACAGAAAGAAGGTAGTAAGAATGAAAGAAAGAATCCCCCAAAGTTTTAATTGTACATTTTAAACATCCTTTGAAATCTTAAACTTACCTTTTGTATTTTTAATAGAAAAAAATCCATGACCTCAGTGTTTTTAATAGTTCCCTTGGCCCTGACTACACACACACACACACACACACACAAATACACACACACGCACAACCCACTGGGAACCTGCCTATAGAGTTAGAATAAACAGAACTGGCTCTGAGGTTCCAGTTTGAACTTTTGGTGGTTTTAGTTTCGACTAAAATCAGTGCCAAACCCTGAGAAAGTAAAAAAAACAATATATATATATATATAAWATATATATATATATATATATATATATATATATATATATATATATATATATATATAAGCCATACAATAACAGAGGAACCCGTAGCTGACTGTTCTTATTATTCTACACCTCTGGTTCTGTCTGTCACTGATATTACACTGAGGAGGAAGAGGTTGCCCTGCAGTGGCTGGAGTGTGATAGGTGAAACACACAGATCACAACTCTGTCTGGAAGGGCAACTTCACCACAAAGGGTCCTGTTATCAGCCGCAGGCGGCCAGAGTGGGGCCCGTTCTCATGTTATGCTATTTATCATCATTACATAGTAAAATATTGTGTTTGTTTGAAAAAAAAAAGAGAAAGAGAGAGATATGTGTGTTGTTCTTTTTTTTTATTTGTAACTGGCTTTACAAGATTATGCTTTAATAAATTATTGGAAATTGTCCTCGAGCGATTTGTTTGTGGTTTTATTTCTGACACACAGGACTAAGACGCAGGAGGATAGTAACTTTATTTACTCAAATACTTTGAAATATTTGTACATTAAATGAGTATTTCCCTTTTAAACGTCTTCATACTTTTGCTTTAAAACATTTCTGGAGGACATACTGTACTCCAATGGAATAAACAACTCAAAGCCTTCTTTGCTTTAACATTCATCATCTCAAGAGCCCTTGTGAGTTTTTAAAAAGGTCACCTGTGTGGACGCACGGCAATAAAAATACTCAAAAGTATTTTGAATAGTTCAAACTATCTCCACCTTGATGAGACAAATGTAATGTTTTATATAGTGGTGATTCAGTTTTATCGACCACTCACCTAAGTGCTAAGATATAATAAAATACATTATAAGTGGAATAACAATAAGTTAAGCATCTGAACATTTCTTAAACTTCTACCAATGAGAAAACATGCTCTCTCACACACGCACACGCACACACACGCACGCTCACACCCTCCTCCCTGCGTCTCTGGTGCGTAATGAGTGTGCGTCAGGGTATTGCGCTTTGTTTGGGTGAGTTCACTTCTCGGGTTTCAGCCGGTGGAGCCGGATCACTTCCTCCTTCCCTGCGCACACGGGTTCGTCAAATATCCTCAATCGTTAAATCTGTGAAGTTACATCTGAGTTAATCTGCAAGTTTCTGGATGATGGATTTGCGGATTTCGCTGCCTGCTCTCCTGCTCGTCCTTGGTTTGGCGACTGTCTTCGCTGCGGCACCTGACTCAGGTAGGAGAGGAGATCAGTGACTCTGTGCTAACTGAGGAATTAGTGACAATTATATTAAGTCGTAAACAGGAGAACACAAATCTTCACCTGACCTTTTCATCCATAATTTAAAATGACTCCCCCACCTATTTAAGACAACTTTGTTTAAGCTTGTCTTTGGCTTCAGAGTCCAGGTTGAATAATGGGGACAAAAGTTTACAAACAGCAACAAAACTTTATTCAAACTGTGTTGGATGATATAAAGTAGAACAATGTGGGAAACTTGGGTTTTGAGGTTGAGTTTCTGTGTCTGATTCATGTGTATCATTGAAACCTCTCAGCAGGAACAATCAGTCTCTCTTCAGTTCACCTTCTTCCGCCCTCAGGACCTTAAAACCAGCAGAAGTAGCTCCAGACAAACTGACCACACAAGAATGAACGCTTGTTTGGTCACAAATATGTGGAGACACTGAGACAAACCCAGCTGTTGTCCTGCCTGGTCTGCTGACAATAACATGACTGGTCCGACCAGGGCCTTGTGTGTTTGCTGTGCTCCGTCTCCATGGAAAATGTCCTCAGAGGATTAGTAATAGTTACAAAAACCACAGTGGGGACAAACCAAAGCTTCAGTACTTGTTTAATCAGCTCCTGCTAATCTCTCTTTCATTTAAGTCTCTTGTACTTTTCCTCCTGAAGGAAGTAGATTGTTCAGTTCTCTTTAATGAACTTGCTGACTGTGTTTTTGTGTGTGTCCCTCAGTGTGTGAGGCGAAGAATGGAACAAGCTGTGAGGAATGTCTGAAAAATGTGTCGGTGAGTCCTTTGAGAAATCCTTTGGTTTCTGCTGGGTTGATTTCATTATGCAAGTTTGTGCATGTGATGGGAAAATAAGTGTCTCAGGTGGAGGAAGTACAACAACAAGTGGCTCCTCCTCCTCCACCACACTTGTCAGACTGGTTTGGACGCCTGCTCGACAGCGCAAACCCACACCTGCCCTGAATACCTTCATTTGTTTGTTTGAATAATAGAGGGACCATTATGTGCTATGGTGATTTTTGTTTTGTCACAGTGCTTGTGGTGCATCAAAACCAAGTCCTGTGTCACATATCCAGTGAAGACCATCCTGCCCCCCCACGCACTCTGTCCACTGAATGAAGCTCGTTGGGGGCTCTGCTGGAGTAAGAGTGCACACACACACACACACACACACACACACACACACACACA